GCACAATCTCTTCCAGGCTCTCGCCGTCGACGCCACCTTCCCTGACCAGTTTCATCACCCTCAGGTACAAAACTATCATGATTACATCAAAACCTCAAAATTTTAAGAATGTTTCTGATTCCTAACATCACATGTTTTTTTATGTTATTGTTTGTCAATGCAGGAGTCTAATGGTCCAACAATTGGTAGCCAAGACGGGTTACAGGCACAAGGGACAGTCTCGACCACGAGCGCACCTGTGGTTCGCCAAAAGCCAAGGGTTCGAGCCAGGAGAGGTCAAGCCACTGACCCTCACAGCATCGCTGAGCGGGTTTGTCCATCATTCACTTTCTCCATTTTACTCTGTTATCGTTTGTGTGTTTCTTCTGATTGTATGGTTTTGGACAGCTAAGAAGAGAGCGTATTGCAGAGCGTATGAAATCTCTCCAAGAACTGGTTCCAAACACCAACAAGGTACTCACTTTCCTGATTTATTGTAACTCTTGTTAGGGAGGGATCTGCATAATGACCGAGTTTGGTTGATAATGAGTTGCAGACTGATAAGGCATCAATGTTGGATGAGATCATCGAGTACGTTAGATTCCTTCAGCTTCAAGTCAAAGTACTAAGCATGAGCAGATTAGGAGGTGCAGGAGCAGCTGGTCCACGCCTCAATGGTCTCACCTCCGAGGTCAGTTTTCTTATTCCCCTTTGTGACATTTTTACCTCAGTAAACAGCGTCACCATTCACTAATCATCATCATGGTGTTTTGGTAATGCAGGTAGGAGGACGGCTCAACGCTCTCACTGGACCGTGCAATGGCCTAAACGGGAATGGAAACGCAACTGGATCATCTAATGAGAGCCTAAGGTCAACAGAACAGAGAGTGGCAAAACTGATGGAAGAAGACATGGGATCAGCAATGCAGTATCTGCAAGGGAAAGGGCTTTGCTTAATGCCTATATCTCTCGCTACCGCCATATCTTCCACGACAACACACTCTCGTGGAGCTCTCTTTACCCCAAATTCCAATGCCATA